TCTTGACCTCTCTGAGTTGCCGTTTCCTTACAGGTTGTGGGTGTGAATTTGACCCCAGCTGGGCTTCGTGGTCACGTGCTGCACGGGGGTGGAGTGGCACGGTCGGGCTTCCCCTCGGTGCGCTCGGTGTGGGGCTCATGCCGTGGGGCTGCTTGGACCCTGAGTTCTGTCATCAGGCCATTTGGGGGTGTCACTTAACCACCCCTGCCAGTGCAGGTCCAGCCTCGTAACAAGACCTGTTCCTCTAGAGATGGCGGTGCTTCTTGCCTGAGGCCGGAGTCCTGAGGGGCCACGTTGAGATGATGCAACGTGACCTGCTCGCTGTCTCAGACACTTTCACGCTGGCCAGGGGTTGAGTAGCTATGAGGAGTGAGTCGTGCACGTTTACCTGGGTCTTTGTGGAAATCAGACCTCTAAGCAGCAGCTGGATTCTTTCCCTTTTTATTATTTAGGGAAGTGGAAGGAAAGGGATCAGCGGCTGCAGAACAAGGGATTCTGTTCTCCTTGATCGAGCCCCGGGTGGCCGCTTTTCCTTGTGTCCTCGGCCATGGCAGTGTGGTTTTGAAGCCGAGCTTTAAAATTGGATGGAACTTCGCGCCCCTCTGTGCCCCTGGGGTCTCTGCGTTGTGCTGCGGCTCCCCCAGAAGGCAGGTTCCACCCTCACTTTTCACCGGTGTCTGCCTCCCGACAGATCCTGCGGGACACGGGGGTGTTTGAACACACCTGGAAGGAGCTGGAGCTGTGGCTGGAGCACTTAGATGACACCGCAGAGGAGAGAAAAGAGGCCGTGATTCAGTTTTTGGAACGTGTAAGCGCGTATTTCCCTATAAAGGAGCACGTTCAGGACAGCGTACTAAGTGATCCGCGGTATAACTAAGGCATTTTTCATGCACCGGAGCCAAAAGGCCTCTCTTCCTGGCTCACCTCCTAATTTTTGCTGAGATGTCAGAACCTACTTAGTTTTAGAATCTGTAAAATGGGAATATATTACTGTGTGCTGTTTAATTCCCTTTTGGGAATTTGTCTTTGCAGGCAGGAATAGTGATACACTAAGAGTGGAATTAAAAGCAGTGGTTTAAATGAAAAAGGTATTTTTCTAAATTCTACGACAAAACGTTAAAAAAAAAAGACTTTGCAGAAGAAGTATTGTACTTATGCAGGCCTGTTAAGATTTTAGCTCTTCCCTTTATTTTACCAGTGACATTGTAGGGCATTTTTCATTTCACGTGCAACTATCCAAGTATTTCCCACTTGGCTCTTTAATGCTCAGGTTCTCCTGACGCTGGTGGCGAATCCCTATTCATACACAGACAAGGCTTCCGACTTTGTGCAGGAAGCCAGCACCCTGCAGGCCACCATGACGAAGCAGGACGCCGATGACGTCAGCATTCCCGTCTCCCACATTGACGGTGGGTGCCACTCCCTGCCCCTCCTTGGCTTCTGAAGAGCCAGCCAAGGTGGCATATTAGAGACAAAACAAGAATCACGCTGAAGCCTTGTGCAGAGTGCAGACATCCCATTTCTTTGTGTCAGAGATCAGCTTGCCCTGGAAACGAAAACCTTATTTGTTTATGTAACAGGAAGTGTGTGCTGGGCTTGTTGGCTGGGTTTTTATTTGTCCAGTGTTTGACCTTGCTCTGGGTGCTGGCCTAAGCCCTACAAATCTTAACTCATGTGACCTCATAAACAACCCTAAGTGGGGGGTATGTCCTCATTTTATATGTCGACAAGGCAGCTGAGGCACAGAGAGGTTAAGCAATCTGCTCAGCCTCACACAGCTAGTATGTAGCGAAGTCAGGATTTGACTCCAGACGCTCTGGTCCTAGTCTGCACGTTAACCCTTATGCTCTTCTGCTTCCCAGATTTTGGCTCATTCCCTTGAATATCCAGGTTAAAGTTCCTGGATAAAGTTCCCTCAGTGTCATCTGAGGAAACTTCAACCTGTTATCACCTGAACTGGATAAACCTGCATTTTGTTTGGCAAAGAATACGATTTTTTAAGCCATGCTCTTATCTGTTTAGGAACAAACATTACATTAAGCATTTTCCCCCAAGAGAAGTTTAGCTTTTATTTTTCCCTCTTTGAACAAGTATTCTCTTGCTCATCCTTCCCTGGGGGTCCTTCTTGCGCATGGGGGTCCCTGGGCAGCTTTTTCCTTGGCTGGATCCCCCCTTTCTGTCTCAGATGTTCTCGACATGGTGGACGTCCTGGTGGAGGGCAGCGAAGGCTTGGACGAGGAAATTGGATTCTCACTGAGTGAAGACATGATCCTGCTCACGTTCCCGTTCAGTGCTGTGGTCCCTGCAGCCCTGGAGGCCAGGAATAAGTTGCTCATGGGGACAGAAAATGAAGCAGGTACCTGTGTTCAGTCAGGATGTGCTGGGTGCGTCAGGCCAGCTGGGTCTCTGTGGGGTAGGAGGTGGGATTCCAGGGGCTCTGGAAATAATTGCTGGAAAACCAAGGTATCAAGGATTCAGACTCACCCAAGTGATGGCTATACAGCTGGTGGAACTAAGTGTTTAGGGGTAGGAATCTAGAGGCAGGCCAGGCTGTTGGGAAGTGGGTCATTTGACAGATGAGTCTGAAATACTGTGTTTACGTGGCTGCACAGATACCTGCTGTAACACTGATGTTTTCTCTTCAGTATTTATTCTTGATGTCTTAATGCTAAGGTACGAGTCCTTCATCCTTGCTGGGTATCCAAGCAACGCAGACCCAAGGAAGCACTCACAGATCACAGTGGTGTAATTAGTCAAGATTGCTCAGGCTTTGCTGCAGTAACAGATAAG